TGCTTCACAAGCTCACATTGCTCTTTATAGCTGTACAATATTCCACTATATGTATGTGTCAACATTTGTTTATCCATTGTTGATAGGCACATAGGTTGTTTCTGTCTTTTGCGTTTGTGAGTGATGTTACAGTGGACACAAGTATAGGCAGCCATATTTTATCAAATACTCAAAAACTTCCTGCCAACTAGTCAGTGTGGACTCATAGCGACCCCCTGTGGGCTTCTGAGACTGTAATTGTTTACAGGAGTAGAAAGCCCAGACTTTTTCCTAGGAGCTGCTGGTGGTTTTGAACAGCCGAACATGTGATCACAGCCCAATGCAAAACCTTTACACTACTGGGGCTCCATAATACAAAACTAAATATTATCAATCTTGCCTTTTTGATTGGTTCACCTGTCAGTGATATTTCTAGGAAAACTTTTTTTTCCTGCGGAAGAGGTTTAAACAGAGTGTTTGGGATTTTAAAAACGTTTTACTCCTCTGAATATGTTCTGGATGATATTTTCTATCTTTTATAGGTGAAGGCAGCATTTTCACATTGCATTTCAGAGATAAGCCAACAATTGAGGACTAAGATAATACTGCTGAGTCTATTGTGGACTCTTTTGAATGCTTTTTTTGGGTGCACCTATCTTTAGAAGTGGTGCTGGTGAGGGCCTAGAGGCTACATGACACATTCATTTCCAAGATTTTACTTTTAGAAATGGTGGCTTTTGGGTGTCAAAGGAAACATCGACTCCTGTCGCTAGGTGACTCGCACACGTTGGTGCATGACCGCTAAGCTCAATGCTGATGATTCAGATCTGTCCAGCTGCACTGCAGAAGCAAAGGCCGGAGAGCTGCTTCTGTTGAGGTGCCAGCCAACAAAGTCCGATGGAGCAGTTCCACCCTACAACGCGTGGGATCACTGGGAGTCAGAAGTGGCTTGTCAGCAACTGACAAGGCAACATGGTAGACATTGAGAAAAGAAACATTTGTGCAGTTGATGAACCTTTTATTTGGTCAAGGTCACGAGCATTCAAAATGGGTGATTTATGGATTGGTCAAATTGTATGATGTCAACAAAGGTTGTCTTTCCTGTCTTTTGGGGGGGGGTGATTTCTTAGAGGAGATATTTGAAACAGGAGAAAATTCGCACTTTTATGTAACACTAAAAGCAATCACAATTATAATAACAAAGATAATAACTACCTCTGAGTGTTCATAGCAATATACCTGTTGCTTGTGGGTTGCAACATCTCTGCTCATTTGGACCCCAGAACAACCCAGTTGTTCCCATTGTTTTCAGATGAGGAAATTGAGGCCCAGTGTGTTTAAATGACTGCCTCCAGGTGGCATATCTAGGAAATGAATGAGCCTAAACTACAAGTAGAGATCATGGGCTTTAACCACTGTATCACACTGCTCTGCGAAGGGAGACACTCAAGTTAGGAACCTGACGTGGAAAGGAGCTAAGCCATTGGGCCCAGTGTCACAACGTGTCAACCCTGAAATTCTACCCTCGGTACTGTCTTCACCCTTGTTGATGGCTTTCTCTCTCAGCTCTCTCTGACCCTTATCCTCTTTTTCTTTAAATCATTTTATAGGGACTAATACAACTCTTATCACAATCCAACAGACATCAGTTGTGTCAAGCACATTTGTACATTCATTGCCCTCATCATTCTCAAAACATTTCCTCTCCACTTAGGCCCCTGGCATCAGGTCCTCATTTATTCCCCTCCCTCCCCGCTCCCCCTTCCCTTTTGAACCCTTAATCATTTATAAATTATTATTTTGTCATATCTTGCCCTGTCCGACGTCTCCCTTCACCCACTTTTCTGTTGTCCGTCCTTCAGGGAGGAGGTCACATATAGATCCTTGTAATGGGTTCCCCCTGTCCAACCACCCCTCCCTCTACTCTCCCAGTATCACTACTCACACCACTGGTCCTGAAGGGATCATCCACCCTGGATTCCCTGTGTTTCCAGTTCCTATCTGTACCAGTGTACATCCTCTGGTCTAGCCAGACTTGCAAGGTAGAATTGGGATCATAGTAGTGGGGAGGCGAGGTAGCATTTAGGAACTAGAGGAAAGTTGTATTTTTCATCAATGCTACATCGCACCCTGGCTGGCTCGTGTCCCCAAAACCCTTCTGTAAGGGGATATCCAGTGGCCTACAAATGGGCTTTGGGTCTCCACTCCGCACTCCCCGCCTCATTCACTGTGGTAAGATTTTTTGTTCTGATGATGCCTGATACCTGATTCCTTCGATACCTCGTGATCGCATAGGCTGGTGTGCTTCTTCCATGTGGGCTTTGTTGCTTCTGAGCTAGATGACCGCTTGTTTACCTTCAAGCCTTTAAGACCCCAGACGCTATATATTTTGATAGTGCACACCATCAGCTTTCTTCACCACATTTGCTTATTTACCCGCTTTGTCTTCAGCGGTTTTGTCGGGAAGGTGAGCATCATAGAATGCCAATTTAATAGAAGAAAGTATTCTTGTATTGAGGGAGTACTTGAGTGGAGGCCCAATATCCTTCTGCTAACTTAATACTAAACCTATAAATATATGCACATAGATCTATTTCCTCATCCTCATATATAAATATATTTGCATATGCACATGTCTTCATCTAGATCTCTATAAATGCCTCCCAGCTCTTTCCTCTATTTCCCTTGACTTTCCTCCTGTCCCACTATCATGCTCAGTCCCCACCAGGGTTTCAGCAATTCCTCTTGGTTACATTACCCTTGATCATGCCCTCCTCTTATACGTGGGCCAGTTTACTTGAGAGCTGCCTTTGCGGAATGGGCTGTCACCGCTACCTGGACTCACGGGTAGAAGGTGTCATGGCTATGCGAGTGTCAGTTGGTTCTGTGTCACATCGATAGCGATAAACAGTGGCACTTTGTTCGACGCGAGCCTGGTTAGAAGAAGATAATAATGACTAGACTGTGGTGCAGGCTGCTGAGGGAGGTGGTGGTGAGCTTCTGGCACTGTCAGCAGTCACAGCCATGCATCCTCTCTAACTCTCCTGGAGGTACCTCCTTTGAGGAACAGGAGTGTTCCCAGGCCCCCAAGTGGTGTTTCAATGACTGGCATCCACCCGAGAAGGAAATGCACCCTGATGACTTGCCAAGGCATAGCTTAGCTATAGTCTCTGGGTGGGGCAAATGATTTGCATTTATAAGTTGCACTTATCAGTTGGACGTCCGAACTCACCCAGCTGTGCCAAAGGAGAAAGTCCTGGCAGTCTACTTCCATAAGAATTCCAGCCAGGGAACCCTATGGAGTGGATTTACTCTGTACTACCACAGGGAGGTCCCTCTGAACCAGCAGCAACGGGAAGATACGTTTGGCTTTCTTTTTCTGGTTTGGCGGATCTAGATCCTGAAAATTAACTGCTCCCTTTAGAATTGTGCTTGCGTGACAAGAATGCCCTTCCAACCAACAAACTCACTGTCAGCTGTAAATCTTTACGACAGCAGAAAGCCTCATTTCCCTCCCTCGGAGCAGCTGGTGGATTTGAACTGCCGACCTTTTGCTTGGCAGCCCAATGTGTAACCCACCATGCCGCCAGCATGTCCTTAGGTGGTGATACAGTTGAGTGGTTGTGAGGGTGGACTTCTGGGGCCACACTGCCTGTGCTTGGGTCCTCACAGAACAGCTCTTAGCCATGTAATCTCGGGTCAATGGCTTCTTTCTCTTGTATTTCAGTAGTCTCATCTGTAAAATGGGTGTAGTACCTATTCCACAGGCCAACGGGGGGAATGCACAGGGTAATGCAAACAAAGCTGAGCAGTACAATGCCTGGCCCGTAGTTCACAGGGTAGGACTGTTTTCTCTTCTTACTGTAGTATTGATCAGAAACGTGTGCACCACATGGAACTTGATACTCTTTTTAGACACCTAGTAGGCACTCAGTAAATGTATCGGAAAAGCATGAAAATGATCATGCATTGCTTTTATTGTTGTCCTCTGCCTTTTTATCTTAGCCGAAACATTAAGGCAATTCATACAAGGTGGGTTGTTTTTCATGTTTGCATTAGCCTGCATTACCCAGGCTCCTGACATGCACCTTGTGCCACTTTCACCCAGGTGGCCGTCCAGTCACAATATCAGCATGTGCAATTCGTTGTTATTTTCGTGATCATAAAAGTGTGTGCTTTCACGATGGACAGTGTGAGAGGTGTTGTCAACACCTGGGGAACGCCTAGTGATGCTCGAGTTGGTGCCTCAGTATTTTAAAACGAATGTTATCATGCCTTGAAGCCTCTTCAAGCCTTTCCAAGCGATGTCAATTACCATTAAATATTCATCCCATCGCAGACCAACAGGAGCAGAAGTGCAGTCATCAGTAAAGTGACTTGTGATGGCAGCATCATTAACAGCGAGACAAGGGCACCAACGCGGGATTGGTTCCTCCGGCAGCGGCTTCCCAGCAGCAGGCTCGCGTGTGCCTTTTCCGTTTGAATAATGTGAGGCTGGAACCCGTTAACAAGGAATCCACCCTCTCTCCTTTCACGTGTGTCATTCGCACATCCAGGAAAATGCTGCATAATACAAACATGACATCCCTACCTCTGATGTCACCCCGGATGGTACAATCCTCTTGGAGCATTTCCTGGGCTCTCCCTGCTGCTGCACTGGGGCTACCTCCCCTCATCTCAATTATCCCCTTGCAAGTAGTTCTCAGGAATATAGCAAAGCCCTACGGGTGGCTGTTTTCGGTAAGCTACCAAGGCAGAGAGCGACAGAGGCAGGGAGAGGCAGGGCGAGGGCTGCCAGCCTTTGTGAGAGCGGGGCTGAAGCAGCAGCAGCTCTCTTGCGCTAGCTGGCTCGCCTGCCACCGCCTGCTAGCTCCTTTAGGTTCCTAAGGCTCAAAGTGCTTCCATTTACATCAGCGTGTGCAGTGCAGGGCAAAAGGGGCTGCCCGGAAATTTGAAACGAATTTGCCTCCAGTTGACTAGACCAGCAGATTTAGACTTAGCTCGCTTCCTTCCTAGCTAACTTTTCTCAAGCGTTAAACTGATGAGCGGGGCATTTTCTATGATCAATGGGTAACTGCTGGAGCTACCGTAATCTCTGTGAGTAACCTCTATTTGTAGGTCTCTGCAGGCAACTTGGTTTTTCTATTTCTTGCTCTTGTGAAATGCTGCTGTGAAATTATCCTTCTGTATTATATTGACTGCTTTTGCTTACTCGTCGTGTCTTTTGACCGCCCTGGTAGGAGATTTCCCGGGGCGAAACCAGATTTTACTGAATCCTGGCTTGCATGAGAGCGTACTGCATTTAGTCAGGGATGCCCATGCCGATGGGGCGTTTGTTTCCCAGTCATCAGAGAGATGCCACCTGCCCCAGAATGCCTTTGCCCATTCCCTCCCTGGCTCGAACCTGGCATGTTTGTTTCAGCATCCGATGTGGGGTTTTCCAAAATGTTTGTCAAGCAGAATATTATTCTTACCTGCGATCGTATTTCTTTGCCTTTTTGCTTGTTTGTTTGGTGGTGTTTTTTTTTTTTTTCTCAAACAGCTTTTCTGGGAACACAGCACCCCCTCACCCTCGTTCTGCACCTTGTTTGTGATGTATTGTTTGGAGAGGAAGAGGTAAGACAGGCTGCCCCTGTAGTTTTGGAAAGACATACTAGTGTGGTGCTGGATGGGAATAGGGGAGGAGTTTCTCTTAAAGAGCTCAAACTCCTTTGCATCTGGGTCCCAGAAGCCTGGCTCAGTGCCTGGGGAGAACAGTGTTACCCACCTGGGCAGCACGGAAGTGTGCAGACACTGCCCATGCGGCGAAGGCAGCGTCTCCACGGGAAGTTCACTATAAGTATTTTCATAGCACATACAGGGGCATGGCTTTTTTAAAAAAATTTTCCTGGCAGCTGAAAGTGTCGATTTTATAGCAATTCCAGCCTTTTTCCCTCCTCTTTCTCATTAAGGAAATTAGACTTTAAGCCTTCTGTGAAACTCGCATATTTAAATGTCCTTGGGTTATTGTTCCATGCCCATTCTCAGCCTGAATCCTTAGCAAAGCTGTCAGCTTCTTGGGGAGCCCAAGAACTGCCAATTGCAAATGTGGATCAGTGGAGGGAGATTGCTTGCTCACCACTGCACTAACATCCTTCTTGACAGACAGCGGTTTGGGGAAGTCCACAGCTGTGGTTGATCATCACTGCTAGGAGTACCAGCTGCTTGACATTTGTAGTTTTTTTTTTTTTTAAAGAGCATCGTAAAGGATTTTAAAAACCAGTCTCAATTTCTGAACTAATAAAATACTTCACAAAACGTCAGGAACAATTGAGAGTAAGGCTACCACATCCACCTTAACTCTGGCAGATGAGAACCTGCTATGCGGAGTGGAGACCCAAAGCCCATTAGTAGGCCACTGGAGATTCCCTTGCAGAGGGGTCTCGGGGAGGAGATGAGCCAGTCAGGGTGCGATGTAACAACGATGAGAAATGCAACTTTCCTCTAGTTCCTAAATGTTTCCTCCCCACTCCCACTACCATGACTCGAGTTCGACCTTGCAAGTCTGGCTAGACCAGAGGATGTACACTGGTACAGATAGGAACTGGAAATACAGGGAATCCAGGGCAGATGAGCCCTACAGGACCAGTGGTGTGAGTGGCGATACAGGGAGGGTGGAGGGAGAATGGGTAGGAAAGAGGGAACCGATTACAAGGAACTATATGTGACCTCCTCCCTGGGGGACGGACAACAGAAAAGTGTGTGAAGGGAGACGTCGGACAGGGCAAGATGTGACAAAATAACAATTTATAAATTATCAAGGGCTCATGAGCGAGGGAGGAGCGGGGAGGGAGGGGAAAAATGAGGACCTAATGCTGGGGGTTTAAGTGGAGAGGAAATGTTTTGAGAATGATGAGGGCAATGAATGTACAAATGCGCTTTACACAATTGACGTGTGTATGGATTGTGATAAGAGTTGTATGAGCCCCTAATAAAATGATTAAAAAATAAATAAAATCGTTGAGTTGCTTCAAAGTTTACTTTGAACTCCAACCCTTTCCTCCTCGAATTTAAAAGTAAAATAAAAGCCGGAAAGTCAGTCAAGGGAGATATTTTTCAAGTGGGCGCCTAAACAAGACAGCGGTTGAAAAAGGACGGAAGGGCTGGATCGAGGAGGAGGAGGCCCTCCTGTCAGAATGGGGCCGAAAGGAGAGGCGCTGGGTCGACAGAGGCATGGAAAGCCACAGACCCATGAGAGGTGGATCACAGACACACCTGCTGGTTGAAAAGTGGGGAACCCACCGCTTGAAAAAAGAGGAAACCAGTTTGACCAAAATGCTCATTTAACAGATAAGTTCAAACTATATCCTTAAGCTTAGTGCTCCTTTTCCACGACGGCTTACAGTGCTCTCTCTACAGCGGCGGGCGCCTTTGCTTTTGAATGAATGAGCTCTTCCTTATCTCCCTCACTTAACCTTCCATGTGCAGTTTTCGGAATCCATAGCATACAGTTTCCTCTGCAATTGACTGGAATGGGAAACCAGCGCCACTCCCCTAGGGATTAGCATGAAAGAGAAAAATTGGGTTCTAAATCATTAGTATGTGAAATTTAATTCGAGGTAAGCACAGCTGTAACTATTAATCACTCAGGGCCAGAGTGTCTAATTAACAGAACATTTTATGTTCCTGTGCCCATGCTAAAAGCTTGTGCAAAACGTGGCAGGTCTGTTCTTGCTTTTTGCAGCATCTGAATTCCTCAAATATTCATGCATTTAGAAAGTTACCAGTGCCAGGCAACATCCAGCACCCTTTAATACATGGTACCACCATCTGCAAAATGTGATTTTTATTAGGGTGAAGAGCATATCCCAAAATATCATGTACTTAGATTACTCATATGGTAAATTCTGATTACTCATACTAGTGTTCTGTTATTTTTAATCACTCCAAATATATTTTCTATTGCTTATTTTAAAAGATTGGATAAATCTTCATGATTTTTTTAAAATACAGTTTTTCTTATTGCACTGTGAATTTGAGCTATACATCATTGTGTGTTGCTGGAGAGGTTTATAGATTATCGGATATAAAAGCATTAATCATTATTATTCACAGTTGAGGATGATTGGTTTTTATTATAGTGGAATGCATTTGAGAGTTTTAGCTCTGCCAGGCTTGCTTTTAATATTTGCATTGCAAATTGGACTTTTGTCTTCCTTTTTTAAGGAGCTATGGGGGCGGCAGGGAGGTGTGTATAGTGGGTTGCACATTGACCTGCTAACCACAAGGTTGGTGGTTCTAACTCCATGGGTGAACTATGAAGCTATACATTCTTGTAAAGATTTAAAGTCCTGGAAACAAAGGGGGCTGTGCTACTCTGTCCGTTATAGTTGCTATGAATCTGTAATTGACTTGATGGCAGTGAGTTTGAATTTTTGTTCATTTTGTTATTGCCTTCCATTTTTATATTGATTTATGGACTTTCAGACTAACCACCACAAACCGGTGACTCTTCTCATCTTTTTGAGACTGAGTTCCTTCCTGACAGGTCAAGGGGGAGGGTGTGTTTTTTCTTAAAGGGAGTATGTTTTAAGTGTTGCTGTGTCTTAGAACGGATGGTTTTCCTCTGATGACCTAAGTTTGAAGGCTGCTATGCTTCCTGGAATAGAGAACACTAAGGAAGTTAGTGCATTTGCGGCACAGGGCGGAGAGGAGACAGGTTTGGGGTGGTTAGGTTTAGCCATCTTACCGAGAGATCGCAAATCTGACGAACTACAATCATAATAGAAAGTTAGTTATTGAACTGTATACACTCTTCATTGTGCATGCTCAGGGTGGATTTGCCCATGCCTTTTTATTTGTTGCATTACATCTAATGATGTGACCATTAAAAAGAATATAGGGCAAGTCTATAAAACTTTGTCTCTCTCCCAGCCCTTTTCTTTTGAGCATCAATGGAATTTCTTTAAGGCTCTGCGTATACTTTCATAGTGGGTCAAGTTTCCATATCCAGCTATTTTAACATTTTATGTATGCCCTCTCCCTTTAAAAAAAAAATATTTTATTGGGAGCTCTTACAACATTCCATACATCAGTTGTATCAAGCATATTTGTACATATATTGCCGTCATCATTTCCAAGACATTTTCTACTTGAGCTCTTGGTATAATAAGCTCCTCCTTTTCTCCCTCCCTCCCCCATCTTCCCAACTTCATGACTCCTTGATCAATTATATATTGTTATTTGTATTTCATATCTTATACTGCCTGTTGTCTCCCTTCACCGACCTTTCTGTTATTCATCCCCCTGGGGGAGGTGGCTATGTATCCAACCTTGTGATGGGTTCCCCCTTTCTCTCCCTTCCCCCTCCCCCTTGAGTTCACTGAATGAGAAGTCTACTGAGAGGTTATAGCACAGTGCAGGATGAGTCTCTTTCTCTCCTGAAGAGGACACCCAAGTTATCACTGATTGGAGGGAGATCACAGAGCTCACGGATCAAACCTTTCCTTTGGTAGAAATGAGATGCAACAAATAGCTTTCTTTCATTGTCTAGTTGATTAAACAGTAGGGATTTTCAGGTAGGACTCAAGAACTTGTGGTTTCTCTTTGAAAAGAAGCAGCAGCCGTGTGAATGTAGTCAGGACAACGTCTAGACCTTCGTAGTTCTCTACAGCAGTACCTCTCATACTTTAAAGTATACTCTTTGTGAAAAATGCAGATTCCGGTTGAGAAGCAGTGGGGTGGTGTCTGAGTGCTTGCATTCTAAGGAACTCCAGGGCAGTAGCTGAGTTATTGTCCCCAGACCTTACTTGGGAGGGAGGCTCTAGCCCAACGCTTCCAAATAGACCTTTCTGGACAATGGGAATGTTTTATATCTGTGTGGGACAGTTCCGTAGCATTCATTAAATGTGATTACTGAGCTCTGGGGAACTTTTCTGTCAATTTGATTAAATTTTAACTTAATTTCTATTTAAGTAGCCATATGGGGCTTATGGCTATGGTATTGGGCGGTTCAGTGTTTAGAGATTAGACTAACCAATTGAACAATTTATTTATGTGGTAATAGCTCACGGAGGAACTTGTTGAATTCTAGAACTTTGGCCAAGATTGACTCCACT